TTATCATCTTTTACGTAAATGAAACGGAACATGTCAAGCACATTGACATAGTGCTTCAGCGCTTACTCGATGCCAACATGAGGGTGGCACGGGAAAAAACAAAGTTCCTTAAAGAGAGCGTTGAATTTTTAGGATTTATTGTCACTAGAGGAGGAACAAGAACAGACCCAGAGCTTCCCAGAGCCAAGAAATCTGTTTAGCCTCAGGTCTTTTCTCGGTCTGGCGAGCTATTACAGGAGCTTTGTAAAAAATTTTGCCTCTATTGCTAGACCTCTTACCGACATCCTCAAAGGGGAAAACGGGACGGTCAGCAAGAATATGTCGAAAAAATTACCTGTCAGGTTTGATGAAAACCAGCGAAATGCATTCGATCACCTTCGAAACATTTTGGAATCGGAAGATGTCATATTGACATACCCTGATTTTAAACTACCGTTTGACTTAACCACCGACGCTTCAGCGAGTGGAATAGGCGCGGTACTGTCCCAGAATAAAAGACCTATTACAATGATTTCACGCACGCTAAAAGACTGAGAACTGAACTACGCCACCAACGAAAAAGAATTGTTGGCGATAGTCTGGGCAATAGGCAAACTCCAAAACTGCCTATACGGTAATAAGGAGGTACGGATCTTTACAGAACACCAGCCTCTTACATAAGCGGTATCCGACAAAAACACCGAAGCTAAGATTAAGCGATGAAAGCGTTTATTGATGAGAACAACGGGAAGGTGTTTTACAGTACACTATCGAGGCAACCCCTGAACAACTTAGAGGCTGAGGCCCAGTCCGATGCGGCCACGGTGCATAGTGGGCTTTCTCATAAACCATAAAAACCACAGACAAACCTCTTAACTGCTTTAGAAACCAAATCATTTTGAAAGAAGCAGGACAACCGCTTCGGCGTGATTTCATAATCTTCGAAAATAAAACCCGCCATATCATTAATTTTAATAATAAGGACTCGTTTGTTGAATCTGTTAAGGAAATCATCAACGCCAACGTTGTAGGCGCGATTCACTGTGATTTCCCCACCCTGGCTCGTATCCAAGATGCCTTGAGGGAGGAATTTCCTGCGACAAAGTTTTGGCATTGTAAAACCTTCGTCAGCGACATAACCAACGCTAATGAACAGCTTGAAATCGCTAACACCGAGCACAATCGCGCCCATAGAGCTGTCCAGGAGAACGTAAAACAAATCCTCCGGGATTATTACTTCCCGAACATGTCCAAATTAGCTAGCGAAGTGGTCGCAAATTTCAACATCTGCAATAAAGCCAAATACGACCGTCATCCCAAGAAGCAGAAATTAGGAACTACGCCTATCCCTTCATATGTTGGGGAAATGTTGCATATCGACATTTTTTCGACCGATAAGAAAGTCTTGTTAACGTGCATTAATAAATTTTGCAAATTTGCTATCGTACAGCCCGTGGTTTCTAGGGCAATAATAGACGTACGAGCTCCTATCCTCCAATTGGTAAATTTCTACCCTAACACCAGGACCATATATTGCGATAACGAGGCCTCCTTTAACTCCGAAACAATCACATCGATGTTGTCAATGCGCCTACACAGTAGCTCCAATGGCCAAATAGATAGATTTCACAGTACCCTGGCGGAAATTGCCAGATGCCTTAAAATTGATAAAAAAAAATTGAGAATACTGTGGACCTAACATTGCGGTCTACGATAGAATACAATAGGTCACTACATTCGGCCACAGAGTTTAGGCCGGTGGAGGGCATCCGCGTCAACAGCGATGAGATGAAGCTGGCAATTAAAGCCAAAATTGACAAGGCACAGCAGTCTAACCTAGACAGGATTAATCCTTCAAGGCAGAACCGGGTCTTCGAAGTCGGTGAAAGAGTACACCTACGCAACAACAGGAGATTAGGGAACAAATTGACACCGCTTTATTCAGAAGAGCGTGTAAGGGCAACATCAGATAGGCATTTCATCTGCCACATTCGCCCACGGGCTAGCCATAATGTCCATCATACTGCTGACCACCGCAAGCGCGAATCACCGACTTCTCGCATGGAAAACACATCCCAGTATTATACGGGAATGGCCTGGTCAGGCACTCGACAAATCTGTCCGAGTTTGCTAGCATAATCGACGCAACGGCCGGAATGCTGGAACTGTTCCCACAATCCCACATGAGGAAGCTGCTGGAAGTTGACATCGAACATGCCCAGAACATTTTGTATGAGCTTCAGATACACCATAGAATGGCAATGATTTTTTGGGCTCAGTCCTTAAGGTCGTGGCGGGTACACGCGACGCAGATGATCTTAGTAGAATTAACACCAATCAAGCATCGCTTATCGAGGCCAACAATAGATAGGTTGTTATTAACAGAGACACAGAAACACATTAATTTGCCCACAGACACAGTAAATAGGATCCTCAAGGAGAAAAGGGGCGGGCTTGTTGCCTCAGGTCATTTGTTCGAAACACTCCTCGCCAGAAATAGAATGCTAATATCCAAAATCCAAAATTGTATGCTTACTCTTACACTCGCTTAAAACAATATCATAAACCCTTCTATTTTCAACCTATTTTTGATGAACAGCTCACGGAGGTCCGCATAGTTAGTCTTATGGATGTATCTAAGATTAAAATTTTCCAATCCAATGTCCTTATCCATGACATAGTTCAGTATCCTAGGGTTGAGGTTATTTGTAAAAAAGTCCTGCTCTTCCCTGTCGCACACAACCATACTATGCTACAAATAGAAGACAACATCGTGGCGGAATGTGATGACGGAATCTTAGCAGTCTCCAATTGCGCTTCTACCACGACACGTCCCACGACATTTGCGACACCAAACAATTACGTGCGGCTACATGCCGGGGCGGCTACATGCCGGAGGCGGCCTAGCAATCTGGAACCCCTTACAATCGTGGACGACGAAGCAATAATCGTCAACGAAAAATTAACGAGGATTACTATAGATCACGGTCCCACAACGACTATAGTAGGGACCCACCTTATCACTTTCGAGAGGAAGGAGGTGATCAACGACTCCGTGTATTTGAACCTCAACTACTCTGTGAATAAGAGTCCGGGTACGGCGCCCTCCCCTTTAATTAACATCACGGGACACGATCACATACTAAGTCTGCCACTACTACAGCGGATGAACGAGCATAACCTGCGTTTAATGCAGGAACTCAGAGATGACGTGTCAGCTGGAGGATCCCCGAGGATTTGGTTCGCCGCGGGAGCCGCCGTTAGCCTCACACTATGCGGCTTGGTCCTGCTCCAACAACACTGCAGGCGCAAACGAGAGGCATCCCAGTTACAAAGGTTCATCGACGAATTGGCTGTCACCGAAGACGGCGTCCAGTTTAAGGGGGGAGTAGTTAACAACCAACTCCCAGCGTAAGCTGAGCAGGCCAATTCTTATTCCCTTCATTAGTATTAATAATTTACTAATATAAAACATTTTTATTATTAATCATTTTTTATTATTCATCATTTTTTATTATTGCTATTATTATTACACTCCTGCATGGTCCACCGTAAATTGGTTCCACCGTAATGGGTCCGAGAGCTTAGCCAGCATATTATACCATTATGCGCTGTGGCTTTGTCTCATTGGCCGACAGCGATTGTATGAGTTCTGACATCCGTTAAATCTCTTATTGATTGTTATATTGACTGAATCACTAGGCCAGCGGTATCGAAGGACAGTTATCCGTCCGCCGTAATCTTCCTAATCTACAGCGACGAGGGCCACCAGCGGCAGCAACCTTCCGCCGACCCCCCGCCACGGATATCAAACCAGCCGGCTCTACCCCTGCCACGGACGCACAGCCAGCCGGCCCTGCCAATTAAATAATTTCCATACTTAAGGCAAATGAAGCACAGGGCAAGACGACGGACTTCATCGTATCGTTCCTCAACTGACAAGGCGAGGAAGCTTGGGCAAAAAAGATACCGCTCAGGGGCATGCACTTGATCCGCTGCCAGATGCGAAGCCAAGGCAAAATCCACAGTCTCAAATGTACGGCAGAAAGCAACTTTTGAAGATTTTCAAGCTAAGCAATGTGCTTAAGCAGAAAAACTTGTTCGAACATAATTTTCATTAATTGATAAAATACTTGTCTGTATTGTTGGCTCATTTGGTTTTGGTTATAAACTAATCCTATGCAGCTATTCAAATGACCTTTAATTCCACTATCCAAGTTTGGTGACTAGTTATGATTACGCTTGATTTGACGTCTACTCCAAAGCTTAGATGACTGCTCACATGATGTTGCCTGCCTGATGTCTGTGCTTTGAGATATATTAGTCAAATCCCTTGCTGCCAGACTGGTGTTCCCCTCGCCGGACGAATTTAATTTACCGTCAAGAAAAAGAAGCGGCACCTTAATCGAGCTTACTTTGTCATAGTCATGGTTGCTTATACTTTTATTTCTATGAGCTCAGTCACAAGTATTAGGCAATGGTGAGTTGGTAGTACACTATTGGGATCGCTTAAGTGAGCATTAAAGTAGCGTTGGACTCATTATTTAGAAAATGGACGCACATTTAACTACACTTAAATTTTATTTTATAATCTATCTTTTATAATTGCATTGCTTTTGTGGTTCCCGGAAGTCAGTGTGCGCCGTGGCCGGATGCAAAAACAAACTTGAGGCATTTGCAGAATATGCATATTCCTGTGTATTACTGTTCATGATCTCTCAGCGGTTATAATTTTGAATAGGCCGGTCCGGATACTAAAGAAAATCAAACCTCTGCATGCTTAACTTTTTAATGATGGATTAGGTTGTGCTTATCGCAACAATCAGACCAATGATCAAACAATTTAACTAAGCTGCAGGATGTCATCAAGGATCTTCGGCTCGCTGAACGCTAAAGACCTCTTAGGTTGCTTGACAACAAATTCTTGTATGGCTAACAGACTAAAAGAGATCCTTCCATATAAATAAATTTAACTTTTACTATAAAAACTTTATTTTGATTATAAATGAAATTGAAAAAATACTTATTTTCAAACAATCTTTAAATATCGAAGCATTTTCTAGAAATTTAAAAAAAAGGGTAAACGAATATGGGAATTCTCCACACAAGGCTTTTCACGTGCTATTAAAAGAATTAAGATATTTTACGATCGTGATTATCAAAATCGAAAAACTGCCGCTTTAAGTTTTCATTTTTAGAAATGGTATAGGGAGAAAGCAACTTTTGAAAATTTTCAAGATCTGGAATGTGCTTTTCCGTTCGCTCACTCCAGATAGGGTCAATCCAAAATGGTAATTTCTATGGAAAAGTAAGCAGAAAAACTTGTAATAACATAATTATCATTAATTGATAAAAACGTACCTCTATTGTTGGCGAATTTGGGTTTGGTTGCCCATAAACTGATCCTATTGGTAGTATGATGCAGCTATTCAAATGACCTTTAATTCGACTATCCAAGTTTGGAGACTCGGTATGATTAAGTTTATATACGATAGTTTGCCGTCTACTCCAAAGCTTGGATGACTGTTCACATGATGTTGCCTGCCTGATGTCTGTGCTCAGAGATATATTAGTCAAATTCCTTGCTGAAAGACTGGTGTTCCCCTCGCCGGACGAATTTAATGAACCGTCAAGAAAAAGACGCGGCGCATTAATCGAGCTTACTTTGCCATAGTCACGGTTGCTTATACTTTTATTTCTATGAGCTGAGTCAAAAGTATTAGGCAATGGTGAGTTGAGGAATTGTTCCTTGTAGGTCGTAAACATTTTTTTCTCTGTTTGATAATTGGACACAAAGCTAACTTCATTTGAATAGTTATCGGCGATCGCACGATACTTTTGGGGATGAGTTGTAAGTACACTATTGGCATCGCTTAAGTGAGCATTAAAGTTGCGTTGGGCTCTATGTTTAGAAAATGGTTGCTTTCGTCCACTCAAAATGGGTTGTTGAACAATTTCGGAACACTGGCGCACTAATTATATCAAAACCCAACAAGGTAAGCACATGTTGTTAAACACAATTTTTATATTATACTCACATTCGCACTTATTATTAAGAGAAACCAGGCTTCTTTCCTGGGTTGATCCAATCTTAACCGTAAATAGTTCCTCGTGAGCTACAATCACCGAATACAGATTGGGGAATCCAAATTCAAAGGTGGCGGTGAGGCCACTTTCTAATCCGTTCTTGATTTCATACAGTTGCATGCTGGGCCGCAGTTCTAGCATATGCACAATCTTAATTAAGAATCTCATAAAACTGGTAAGACGGATGCACTGCTCACCGGCGTCAAAATAAATCTAGGGAAAATAGGAACTTATAAAATCTTAAAGTCATGAAACATAGAAAATAACTTACTTCTATTGCATGTCGCATGGCTAAAAGAGCCGAATCTGTAAGCTGGTCCTTGTGTTTAGCATTGAATTCGCTTAAAAACTTATTTTTTTGGAAACTTTCTAGCATCTGAGAATATTTTATATCGTCTTTCTCCCATTGAATGAGATGATTGCATGCCCTGTAGCATAGAAGACGAAACTCAATGTCGTTATTGTGACATATGACCCAAGTGGTCTGATATTTTTTTTTAAGCTCAACGTAGGGCAACAACTCAAATCCTTTAGCCATATCCGTGACACCCAGTGTTTTCGGTTGGATCTGGTAGCCGTACTTTACTTTGTGGAGAGTTAGCACTTCATTAAGCTTCATACAGCGTGTTCCGCTTCCAGTGGCGTTGCGTACAAGGTCCTCACATTGCTCGGCAAAAACTCTCCTTGCCACCATTGGCGACAGTACTATTCTTTTGTCCTCATCGCTTATCAACTCTATCTCGACTAAGCCGTTAATTGCATCCAAAAGATCCGCTAATTTAAGGAAACCATAGTCACTAAGCCGACATTGGTAGGAAAAGTGGTAATGGTAGGATCGTATGAACTTCTGAAACGGAATAGTGTACTGTAGGGCGTTTTGCAAAAGCTCCACCATTTCTCCTGCGAACACACATGTTTTCTCCAATTCACTGATAGTCTGTTTACGTTTTATTAATGATATAAGAATATCTTTATCGTTATGAACACGGTTAAGAGACACTACGTTGGAGTTGACTAGTTCATTTAGAATGTCTTCAATGTCGCACACTCCATAGTCCGTAACGTCAAAATTTCGACTTTGAGTCTGAGCAAATACTCTTGGCAGTTGAGAGAGTAACAGACAATTTTTACCATGTGCACGAAGAATCCGTAATAAGTCTGAGGTGAACCTACGTATTTGTGTCCGGTGGGTCAAAGTTATTTGTCGATTTTCTCCGTCTCCCATAATCTGCACCACAGAAGCCATGGCATCAAAGAGCTCGATTAGCTTTGTATAGCCGTAGTCTGCCACTCGGCATTGTTTTCCAAAGTGATTGTGATAGGCTGGAATAAAGCGGTTGAACTTTATAGTCGATTTTGGTGACATTTTTACTAGCTCAATAACTTCGCGGGATATTTGAAAAAGCGGATCAGCTACAGAGTTTTTGAAGTAGCATGCCCGTTCACTGGTAGTGTAGTTTAAACAAAAGCTTTTTATAGATTCAGCAGATTCAATTTCCTGGTTCGCTTCTAACCATGCGAGAATTTTTATGCCGAAGTTGTTAACTTTAATATGAACTCCCTGTACACAGCAGACCAAATGTTCCAAGTTGACGCCACCTTCGTTCGCCTCGATTGGCACCTTTAGCTGTGTTTCAATACAGTGGGCAAGGGTAGCCACTGGAATGTCCCCCGTATGTATCTTAAGCAGCGGATAGACTACTTTTTGAATCTCCGAAATAGTCATATAGACATTGGGCAAGGGATCAATTTCCTGCTCAGCCCACCCCATGTGCTGTCCCCTTTTAAAATGAATACTACAGTAAGGAACGCTGTGTTGCAGTCCCTCTATCAATGGCGAACTCTCAAGGGTATTTACTAGTTCCAAATGAAGGCTAATATACTTTTCCTCATTGTTGGCCGAGCTGATGGTACATATGTCCTGCATTTTGTACAAATCTAAAACACTTATTGATGTTTTAAAGCGCGACTGGAAGAGCTCTCTAAACTTATATATGGGTAGAGTATTGTACGGCACATCCTAAAAAGAACACATTTGAATTTATTAGTTGGGAAACAGATAAATTTAAACCTTAAGCAGTCCCGCGACTTGGCAGCGTAGTGTTTTAATCTCAGTCAGCGAAGAGTCTCGAGTATAACTGACCAGCATGCGCTTATGTCCAACCTTTTTTCGGTGCAAGTTAGAGACGACCTGTTTGGCAAACTAGAACATACATATAGCAAGACAAGAACAAAGAATATATTAGGGAATTACAATTAAAGTGATAAAAGATAAACATCCCGGTTTGTTGCTAATTATGTTCTAACTGTAGGTAATTTTTTAATACTTCTTTAAAAAATTTAATATATGAAAATTATTTTGCCAATACTCATTAAAATATGTAATATATTTTAATAAGAAAGTATCAATGTGGACTTCACAGACTTCGTGGCCTTTGGGCATGGGTGTGTCCTTACCATCCCTATAATTTTTATGGTGTGTGCCAAATATCAAGTTTAATCAAGTTTAAATAGTTTCTAAAATACTGGAGTTTATAGGAACATAACTAGATCCACTTGGATTCCTAACCAAATCAAGCATTACGGATAAGCGCCCCTTAACGGGTATTCCGCTGATTATAGAAATAATCAAGAGGAACTCAAGTATATATGGTTAATATTATTAAACTCTCACATAAAGATCCGGTACAGTCACTTTGGCATAGGAGTTTCCCTCAAAAACGAGTGAAACAACAGGCGTAATTGGCTTGAGCTGATTCATTAGAAAGCTGCGAAGACTTGACTCATCCAACGAGTAGTCCAGATTGGTAATCTGCAATGTTACTGTATCTCTGTCCTCCTTCACTTTGGAAAAAATGTGCCCTTCATTATTTCCGCCTGCAACGCAATTTACCCTTTTGATGGCTACGGTTGTAGTGGGCCTGGAGAAATGGAATACCACATTGGGTGCAATAGTGCTGATAACAGTGTTTTTAAAAGCATATTCCTCCACTGAGCACCTATTATCGGCGATACTAATGGCAAAAGAGCTTTGGAAGTTCTTGCCTATATCTACTGAAGAAAACATGGTCTGAGGCATGGAACAGTTGCTTTTTCTCTGCTGGGTCGACTCATAAGACTTGTATGCTTGGGAACTTGTCTTAGCAGCCTGCAGTTGCTGGGGATGTGAATTATTGCCCGCAGCCAAGCATGCCCGATTGCTACTGTACGGCATGAAACGACTGCGGTTGCGTACGTTGTCTTTTACATACTGGCACACATCCATATTGTTAATCAAAGGCAGGAGTGTAGAAGCGGACCCTTGACCTTCTTCCACATGATTTGATGCCCGCTTTGATGTAAACTTATTGAAGTCCAATGCTTTTGACGGTAATGATGTAGAAAGCTGTAGATCAGGCCGAGGTTGGGGATTTCCTATGGCGTAATATGCGTTTTTAAACATTTCTTTTCCGTCTTTTTGCAAGCTAGCGAAGTAAAAACGAGTAAAGAAAGGAAAATTGAAATATATAAGTTTAAAACATATTTCACTATTTTATTTCATATTAAAATGGTGCTACATTTTAAAATGTTCGACACCAAAAACGTAAAACATATTTAACATTTTAAATATATTCTAAAAATGAATGTAAGTAGATTAAAAAGGTATATTTATAAACGACATTATATAACTTTTGATATAAACCTCGGCAAATCAAACTTTATTTTTTCAACTTTTTTGTTAAAACACAATTCATTATATTTTCGCAGGCAAAACTGAAGCTTTGATAAAGTATTTTCAACAACTGAAGCTCTCACGCAGAAAGGTTATCGTTCATGCTCAGTTACAGATTACCCAGACATAAATTAGTTAGTGATCTAAAAGGCACTTCAAAGTTTAAATAAATATAATTTAAATAAATATAACAAGTGAAATTAAACAATATTTGAAGTTATGTACCGGGCTATTTAAAATAACTTACGATATTTCATCAAGCGGCAATATATTCTGGTGCTTTACGCTATTATCTTGCCATGAAAGATCAGAAAGATCAGACAAAAAGCGGAAAATTGCGGAGTCCATATTATTATAATGTATGTCTTCGTTTGGCCTTGCATAATATTTTTTGTCAATGCCTATCGACTTACCAAAGATTTTTCAAATCGTAACATTATTTCGGTATTTATGAAGAATGAATGTATGAATGTATGAATGACTCCCTAGTACTTATGTATGCAGACGATGTCAAGCTCTGTCTGCAATATACCGATGCCTCCTACCAGGTGAAACTGCAATCTGACCTTAATAATTTTCAAAACTGGTGCTCTTCAAACTTATTAAATCTTAATGGCTCTAAGTGCAAAGCAATGACCTTCTGTCGCCTAAGACCTAAAGTTGCCACTTATAATTTGCATGGTGTAGCTCTGGAAAGAATTAATGCAGTTGAAGATCTTGGCATCCTACTGGATGCAAAACTTAAGTTTTCCGACCATATTTCCTCTATGGTTAATAAAGCTAGAGGAGTTCTTGGTTTCATTAAAAGGTGGTCGAAGGAATTTAACGACCCCTATGTTACCAAAACTCTATTTATTTCTTTAGTTCGTCCTATTCTGGAATATGGATCATGTATCTGGGACCCCCAGTATGGGGTTCACCAGTGCCTTATTGAATCCATCCAAAAGAATTTTTAATATTTGCTCTCCGAGGTCTCAACTGGGATGCAAATATACACCTTCCCTCTTATAAAAGTAGACTCTTACTAATCAATTTGCCATCCCTCGCTAATCGTAGGACGATGCTTGGGGTAGTCTTTATTCATAATCTTCTTAAGGGGGAAATTGATAGCCAGGCCCTTCTTGGCCGCTTGAATATCCATGTACCCCTTAGGATTACTAGAAACTATATTCCTCTATCCTTAGAGCATTGTAGTTCGAACTTTGCCCAACATGAACCATTTCGGGTACTATGTTCAAAATACAATGATCTTTATAACATTATTTCTAACTCGTCTCCTAACACTCTGAAAGTTTCGATACTAATCCATTTAGCTCAAAACTAACTTTCCTCGTATCTTTACTAATCCACTCGGATCTATCCCCGTGTTCCGAGCCGTACGATAGACGGCAGCGCCCCTCGGTCGGTTGGGCGGGAGGTGGGTTGCACGTCAAGCAACGGGAGTCGCGCGAATGAAGATAGCAAGTAAAGTCGTCGTCGTATGCAACCGTGTATTTTATTGTGCTCCGGGAAAAAAGTATTCAATAATATCAAAAAGTGCAGTGATTGGTTTCGTAAACCAACAACAACGCGAAAGGTCGGTTTCAGCGATGAAATCGCTAATGTTTATATTGATTAATTGATTAATTAATATAAAACACACACAACGCACACAACGTCAACGGGAGCAAGACGAGAGACGGCTCTCAGTACAAAGAAACAACGCTTACTGCTCTTTCAAAGCAACCGAAAGTAATGCAAGCTCTTCCCAAACACGGTCAATTACCCAAAACTTGACCGAATTCTTAAACGTAGAGAGCGAGAGAGCGCGTTCTTGCTCCCCCTCGCTACCATCGATGTCTCTGCAGCCAAAGAGCCCAGTAACTAGCACCGCAATTTCTTTGACAACGTCAACCGTAACAACAACAACAACCGCAACTGTAACGACGTCATCAACTAGCAGCGCAAGCATTAATACTTCTGCCGCTGTGCCCGAAAAAGAGAACAAAAACAAAGAAAATATTAAGCCGGTTTTGCAGGCTGGTATGGATAGCTACATCCAAATCAAAAGGAAGCTAAGCCCATTAAATAGAAACGCCCACGAACTCAAGCCGTTTTAAAATCTTGGCAGATTATGAGGATAATGCCGAATCTACTGATGTCAAAAAACAGAAGCCTAAGCCCCCGCCAATTTACATACGAGAAAAAAGTTCCAACGTTCTTGTCAACAAAATTATAGAACTTATGGGCAAGGACAACTTCCACATAATACTACTCGTAAGGGGCAACAGATTGCAGAGTATTATCGAAATATCACACCGACAAAAAAAAGAACTTTTACACGTATCAGCTAAAAAGCAGCAAGGCCCTGCAAGTCGTACTTAAGGGCATAGACTCCGAAGTATCGCCTGCAGAGATAACAAAGGCGCTGCAAGAGAGGGGATTTAGCGCTAAGACAGTCTTCAATATCCTTAACAGGAATAGAAAGCCGCAGCCACTCTTAAGGTTGAGCTAGAACCAGAAATAAGCCGCTGAAGAAATACGAAGTGCACCCTACATACAATCTTCAGTTCCTGCTGCACCGCAGAATTACAGTTGAGGAGCCGCACAAACGGAATGGCCCGGTACAATGAGCGAACTGCCAAGAATTTGTCCATACAAGGTCTTACTGTAAACTGCGCCCGGTGTGTGTAGTTTGTGGTGAGCTTTATGTCTCCGCACACTGCCCAGCGATCAAAGATGACCACAACTCGAAAAAGTGCGGCAACTGCTGCAAAAATCATACTGCTAATTATAGTGGTTGCCCAGTTTATAAGGACCTGAAAAGTCGTATCCACCAGAGGGGAATTACCGCCCGCACCCAAAATAAACAGTTGATAGCAAACCCTGAAGTCTTCTTCTCGGCTGCAGCCAAATCCTCACTAAGACCCATAAACACTGCCAAAAATGTTACATACGCAAGTGCTTTAAAATCAGGACTGGCTACCCCAGCATCAAAAAGCTCATTGCCGCAATCAGCATACCAGCAACCGAACACGGCTCAGCAGCATCAACCGCCGGAGCACCCAAAAAGTAACTTTGAAGCTATGATATGCAGTCTACAACAAAGCCTTACGGAGTTTTTGTCGTTTATGCATACAACAATGCAAGAAATGATGCGAAATCAAAATCTATTAATACAAATGCTGGTTTCACAACAATCCAAATAATGACTTCCCTACGAATATCTACGTGGAACGCTAACGGCGTTTCGCAGCATAAACTCGAGTTAGCGCCATTCCTACTAGACAATCAAATCGACGTAATGCTGCTTTCAGAAACACATTTTACAAACAGATACAATTTCCAACTACGAGGATATTCATTCTATGGAACAAACCATCCAGATGGTAAAGCACACGGCAGGACTGAAATTTTAATCAGAAGCCGTATTAAGCACCATTATCATACGAAATTTACTAAAAACTACCTACAGGCCACCTCCATAAATATACACCTAAATATTGGCAAGCAATTAACGCTAGCCGCCGTATACTGCCCCCCACGCTTCACCATAGCCGAAGATGAGTTTATGCAGTTTTTCTACTCACTCGGAGACCATTTCATAGCAGCAGGAGACTACAATGCCAAGCACACACACTGGGGATCTGGTCTCGTGACTCCAAAAGGAAAGCAGCTCTATAATGCAATTATCAAAGCCAAGAACAAGCTCGACTACGTTTCTTCTGGCACATCAACATACTGGCCGGCAGACCCAAAGAAACTATCCGATTTAATAGACTTTGCGATTACCAAATATATTCCTAAAAACATGATAAGCGCCGAATGCCTTTCGGATCTTTCATCTGATCACTCGCCTGTCCTTTTTACTCTACTCCGACATCCAGGAACATGGGATCACCCATTAAAACTGACCTCACATAAAACCAATTGGCTTAAGTACAGGAAGTATATTAGCTCACACAGTGAGCTAAGTCCTCACCTCAGCGATGAAGCCAACGTAGACAGTTTTGTTAATTCACTGGAATCTGTACTCGTCTCTGCAGCTCGAGTTTCAACACCTCATACTATTAACACACAATGCAATCAAAAGAAGACAAATCTACAAATCGAACACCTCGTCCTCGAAAAGCGATGTTTACGGCTAGAATGGCAATTTCACAGATCGCCATCTGCTAAGCAAAGCTTAAAACATGCCTCACGTAAACTTGCTCAAGCTCTACAGCAAGAAGAAACATATATCCACCTCCGCTACATTGAGCAATTGTCCACTTATAGTACAAAACACTCACCGCACCCAACTCTGAGCTCACCGAAAGAAACCGTGATGCCTATTAGATTACTTAGTTTCGCCCAAACGAAATCGTAAACATCATCAAAAGACAACTGAATCCGCAAAAAATCCCCGGGCTGCGACCTCATAACTCCCAATATGATCATTGAGCTCCCATACTGCGCCGTTTGCACTCTCACCCAGCTCTTTAATGCCGTCGCAAAACTTGGCCACTTTTCAGTGAGATGGAAAAAGTCAATTATAATAATGATAGCAAAGCCGGGGAAAGACCACACTATCCCCACGTCATATATACCTATAAGCCTACTCTCTTGCCTATCTAAACTCTTTGAAAAATGCCTAATGACTCGGATAAACACATACCTGAGAATCCAGGAAGGAATCCCGTCACACCAATTTGGCTTTCGTGAAAAGCATGGAACAATTGAGCACGTCAACCGCATAACATCATAAATTCGAAACGTTTTCG